GAGGCAGGAGGGACGCCCAGTGGGGTGGCATGCGGTGGCTCCTGCAGGGACTGGAGTCCAGGTGCAGCGCTGGAAAGATGATTCATTGCTTAAAACCATGCAAAAGATATGAAGGCTGTGAGATTATCTTTGTTGCTACTGAGGTCATGCTTAAAAATGAAACTCTTGAGAAACATCCCTACAGCAGCATAATCCTGTGTGTATGTACTGGTAACTGCATTAAAAGGGGAAAGCCTCTGCCCGCCTGTTTGTGATTTGTTCACCAAATGGAGCTCTGCCCAGCTGATTTCAACTTGCTTTTCACATTCCCGAAGGCCAGGGCTGCTTCAAAATATCTTCAGAAAAACAACGGCCCCTTCCTCTTTTTCATCATCATGAGACCATTTCTACCTCCTTAAATAGCAATTCCATTTGAGAAGTGACTCAGACAGCAACCGAGGAGTTTCTGTTCCCCATCGCAGAGCGGCAGCCCTTGCAGAGACACCTCACTTCGGAGGGGAGTTGCCGTTTCTTCCCAGCTGCCTTTCTTGGGGTCTGTAGAAGTGACCGAGGGACTGGAGATGATCTCTGGTCTGGCTGCGCAGGTGAATTTGCATCTTGGTGCAGAAAGAAACACGTATAACTCCCTTGGGGGAACCTGAGCCTGTGGGTTTCACAGACCCTGAGAAAACCCCATATATATTCAGATTGTGCTCTGAAATGCAGCTTGGACACAGGAATAACCCAGTCTGCAGTGGATGATACATGGAAGAACAGCCTCCAGATGAGCAGATAGTGATCCAGTGACTGGATAGTACCCCATCCAGGTGACTTGGTGAACACATAGGTGTGTCTAGACATCTTTTTAATCACTGAGGTCAGCAGTGGAGACATACAAAACACACAGGGAATGGATTTAATGCTTACGTACACCGGTTTTGTAATGCTTTAACTCTAATAAATTAAAGACTATGGCAACATAGCTCCTTCCAGAACTTCTCTGGCCACATCCATGCCACAGGACAGCAGGCTGGCATCTAACGAGTCTGCTCACACCAGCACAAACTCCATGAAAAGCACTGATGTCAAAACTCCTGAGATCTTTAGTTCTGGTAAGCAAAGTGCTGTTGATAGGACAGGTGGGTGCATGTCAGACGAAATCTTATTTGACCTGTTAGTCCTCTGTCACCCTTTTTTACAGCAGCGTGCTGTCGGGAAAAGGGGGCGGGACCACTGGTACATCCTCCTCTGAGTAAGACCCAGAGTAAACAGTGGAATTAGTGAGAATGCCGTTGAAGGAGCTGTTTCCCTGGCATTTGTACCTGTAGCTTAGTCATGCTCCACCAGGAAACCCGGACTTCAATGTTGCATTCGAAAGTAAAATGTAATTGGCAAACGCTACATTTAAATACGACTGAATGATTTTTAGTATTTGCCTCCCCTTGATGCTAACCAAAACCCCCTAAAGGCAGCTTTTCCTCTCACCTTTTGGTCATGGGTTTGAAGCTGTATTCTGCTCTGAGGCAAATTAGGCATGCACTTCAGAAGGAGCCAGACCAGACCCCTGCTTCTCTGGGTGGTGTTACAACATACCCACCAATGCCACCCCCTGCCCTCCCTGCCCTGCAAGGGTTCCTCTCCACAGAGCAAAAAAAGGATCTTCTTCAAATTACAGTCCCCTTTCTGCTGCTGTACTTTGTGTTTGTCCCAAACACCATGCCGCTGCCAGTGACTCACCCCTCTGTCTCGTGTGGTTTATTTCTATACCTACAGAGGGGCTGTTGGTTTGGAAATAGAGACACATTTAAAAAACATTCCTTAAGTATACAATCAGCTCTAACTTTCCTTCTCACTCAGAAAACAAAAGCATATGCACCAAAATCAATGGACCAGAATATCCAAATTATTTAGATTTTTTTCTTTAAAGCTTCTGTTGATGTCTCAGTTATCGTGTGTTAGCCCAGTTCTGCAGATTCCTGATCCCTCCCCCCAACTCTCATAGGGAAGGAGGGGGCAAAGAGCCACAGGAGCAACAGAAATCATTCAAACCCAGAGGTATTTGTTTTGGTTAAAGTTCTGCAGAAGACTGATTTTAACCAAATCTTAATTTGTACTAAATTTACTCTGTATTATCCCTTAATGTTCAATTTGAAAAGCAGATTCAGTCAAATGGGGAAAAATAATATGAGGAGTTATTTTCCAAAGCAGCTCCTTGGTAGAAGCTGTTTCCATCTAATAAAAACAGCATAGTAATTATAGTAATAGGAAGACGATTTATTAAATAGTAATAGATAGTTCAATGTATCGCTCGGGAAAGCTTTCCCACAAATGCCATGGAGAAAACTGTCTCCTTCCATTCTCAAGTCCATAAAATTACTTTTGTCCTTCTCAGCCAGGTCCTGTGTCTACAGGCACAACCGTGCGAGCAGCTTTGCCTGCCAGCAGTGGTGATGGGGAGAGGCAGGGGGTGCTTCGCAGGGCTCCAACACTGATCTTCGATCCTCAACAGTGCTGTTATTTCCTGAACACATGCTTCACAGACAAAAGCACAGAAGAGATTTAAAAGGCTTAAAAGTGTTTGCAGCACACGGGCCTCTGTTGAAACATCTCTGGCAATGCTGTTTGCTGTCTTCCTGTTGCAGTGACTTACTGCTTCCCCCTGATAATGAAGTAGCAACTAGACTCTTACCAGACAGGAAAAGAAGCTAGAAGATACCTCTGAAGTGTCCTGAACTTGGTAAAAATCCCAGCCTTACTGTCCTGTGCCCGCAGAAACCTCCAGCACATCTTAGGAGGGAGAGATTGCTATGAGCTCTGAGCGAGGTGTGTATTTGCTGTGCATTTACGTGTGCTTGGCATATGCTGCTGCCCAGCATTATTTGCTATGAATTGTAATGCGAAGGAGATAAATCTATTTACTTTCAACATGAAAAGCAGCAACACAGAAGGTGTGGCAGCCTGCAGCTTCTTCAGGAAGCTGCCACCCAGGAACTGAGCCACCACAGCAGGTGGAACTCAGATAACAGCACCTTCCGCAGTCCTCATCATCAGGATGGGTTTTGCCACAGTCACATCCGAAAACAGGCTGGCACCTTCGTTATTTCCCGCTGACCACAGCATCTATCCCAGGTCTGCACTGCGGAAGGGAAAAGAGCAGTAGTCACACAGGACTTGGTGCTGAACCACAGCCGCCTCCTCCACCTCTCTAGGGTAAATAGGTGATGTTTCACAGGCCCCAGCGGCAAATGACAGCATTGGAGAGCTCAAGTGCCGACTACTCCGAGCAGTTTAATTCCTTCTTTCCTCTCTCCTCTTTATTAAAAAGCTGCTAACTCTTCCTTTGAGCAACATCTTGAGTTACTACCCTTCTGCTGAGAATGTTTTAAATTAAGCTGCACCTGTGGCTGGCATCAAACCCAACTTGATCAAGCTAGCACGGAGCTCCAATTCAGAAAAAGGTTATTACATATTCTACAGGACGTGCAGACATCACGTACTACTATAAGAGTACTGCATTTTGTAGGACATAAACCTATCCACTGCCCTTGCTGTGTTCTTCCCTTTCCTCCTCCTTTCCTACCTCCCAAGTGAAACTTCCTTTCATCTGATCCACTGCACCTGCTCCCCTGCCAGGACCTTAAACCCTGGCCCCAAGAGCTGCCCTGCCCCACGTCCTACCCAAGAGCAGCTCCCGCTGCTGCAGGCGCAGGGGACAGAGCCACACGGGGTAAGAAGCTGCCATCCTCAGCTGACCACAGGCGTAAGGCTCATGAGGAGCCACCTGCAGCTAACACAGGCAGGTGTTCAGGGGCAGCCGTGCCGATGTGCTGCTCCAGTGCAGGACAGGTAGTCTTGGTATTCAAATATCACCGATTATTCTCAGCTCTGTGTTCTCACTCCCTAGGCAAGTATTTTCATAGTACTTCTGGGCATGTAGATTTCAGCATTTGCCCAGTCCCGTAGTGCCATCGTTCGCACTGTTCAACACTTGTGGTTCAGATGTGCTCTTCCACTAATAAAAAAAAAGGTTATCCAATTGACCAACAGGACTAGCTACACTTTACTATGTGGTCTACCTTGGATGTTCAAAAGGGCCATCTGGGAGATAACAGTGGAGTCGAGAATCTGCAGCCATGACAGAAGCCAGCCGTAAGGAACATACATCATGCTTACACGTTGGATGCATGTAAGAGAGGGTGGTAACTGGAGATTGACTTGGTTGAGCAAAAAGTTTTGTTAGTTTAGAACCCCCTCACCTACCACAGCACACCTCAAACAGGAACCCACCTTAGCCCAGAGGAGCATTTTTAGTGTGCTTTGCTTTCCAGCCCCATAAAATGCACCCAGCAGCTATAGAGACACATCTTTATAAAATTCTGACAATGTGGCTTAATTTTCTTAGTAACATTTAATAAATCTACCATAAATGTAATCCTTCTCTTTCCTGGGGTTAAGTAGTAAGAGGCTGATGCTCCAGCGTTACTGTAGCCACAAGGGCCCACGGATCATAGAGTGAAGTCTGCCTTTTTCAAATCTACCTATAAAGGACTTTTTTTTTTAAAAAAAAACCCAAAAACAAAACACCACAACTATTTCAGTTTATCTAATAAAAATTTTCTTCAAATTAACTCTTCGAAAATTAGTTCCGATTTTTACCCCTTTTCTTAAAAAAAAAAAAAAGGTATGCTTTTGCTCTCAAAGGTTTACAGCAAGTGAAAAGGAACACACAGCCTACCCTACCTGAAAAGAGCTGACAAGGTTTATCACAGTGAGATTATATTCACAGTAATTTTAGTTTTTATTCACTTACTATCGCACCATATATATGAAATAATTTCAACCAAGTCATTCAGGTCCATATTTATTAGTAAGCCTGTACACTGTCAATATTCATGATGATGCCTGAAAGAAAGAACACTAACAGAACACAGTCTTCATGTTTCAGATGCAAATTAGTTCAAGGTTTTCCCAGTTAACATCAATAACCCAGACTAGCTTATAAAAAAAACCCAGCCAAAACATTGGGGATTGCTGTCCAACACTACAGAAGGAATCACTTGGGGGTTGCCAAACAGCATATGGGGCGTATTGATCTGACGCAGAAAGACCAGTGTTATTAGAGTTCCCAGGAGACAGTCTCTCTTACAAGCCCAGTTTGGTCCTTCTCCAGTGTCTCCTTTTGGAGTTGTACCTAAGACAAGAGCAGTGTAAATTAGCAAAGTGCACACACATTTGAGGATTCAGACAGACTGAAACCACCTTGAATTAGCTCAACAGTAAAAGACTGAAATCCTTCTTACATGCTATAGTGGCAAGCTGCCAACAATAATCAGCCGTGTACTTATTTTTTAGAATTTCCATCTCTGTTTACTTTTTTCAGTCACTAACCAACTAGCACATTACTGTAACAGAATCTAAACCTCAAAGAGATAAAGATGCCTGCAAAGATGCATCAGCACTGGTGTGTGAATAACTTACTTCCTCTTTTGGAGGCAAGACCTGCAATTATGTATTGATTGTCCAATGATAATGAAAGAATGTAGTTCAGGGTCTAAGACAAAAAGCATCATTTTTGTTTCAAATATGAAAGCAGAGCAGTGTATGGAAAAGGCCCTCTTCCAGGAAAGTATATTCATTTATGTGTATATACTTGTACATGTTAAAAACAAATAGTTTCACCACTGTGTAGATGAAACTGAAGACAGCATTAACAGAATTGC